CCCCAAAACCCCAAAACCCCAAAACCCCATAAATGAGTGAACAAGCTGAAGTATATTAAATTATAAAATATGGGTGCAGCACAGAGTAAGAAGAAAGTGTTACTGAAAAAGAAGTTTATGACAAAAAGAGATGAGCCGAGTGGAGGGTTGAAGAGTGGGAAGAGAGAAGGAAAATTTTGGAGGAGAATAAGGGGGAATTGAGGAAGAAATTGAAGAAAAGAAGTCAATTGGGATGGAAAGAGTGATAGTGAGTTTGAATGAATGGTGTGATTAGAGTTTAAAAGAAAATTGTGAGTATCGAATTGTTGTAATAGTATTATTTGAAGGGAATGAGTTTCTAAGCTGAAGGGTTCTTGTCCTCTAAGATGTAAAAAACTTTCTGAGCAATTCGGGACTAGAAAAGCTTTGGATGAGAGAGTTACAAAAATTTTCATCTCTTGAGATATTTGTCTGACAAAAATCCATCCATGGAATATGATTGCTCACAAGAACAATTGTGGAGAAAGAATTTTAACTGAAAGAATTTCTGACTGATGGTAAGCCTAGGCTCTCTGAACTAACGATTATTATTTTGTAAAATTTTCTTATTCCTTACTTTAGATTGCATGATTGAGTACTGATCAGTAAATGTTCAACAAATGAATGGAAATGCCATGCAAGAGAAAACATTATCCAAGATCATAAAGACAATAAAGAAAATCAATATTATGAATGAGAAAAATGCCAAATTAAATTTTGAAAATTCTGAGTTGCTAGAGCTAAACTCCAAGGAAAAAACTGAGCACTAAACTCCAACCCCCTCAACTCCCCTATATCTGTCTTCTTCCACTGTAAAATCTCCGAAAATGTAATTCCAGACCAAGACTATACCCAAAAACCTTCATACACTCCCCCAACATTTCCCAGAACCATCTATTCCCTATAAACCCAAAGCAAGCTCCAAAGAGTAGAGCCTTCGTAACCTAATAGCCAATGTCCTTCCCGATACTTAGTCTGACCGGAACGGACAGGTTAAATTATTACCTTCGTTTTATTAATAAATTTTCATATTTCTTAAGTGGACTGGGGTTTTGGGGTTTTGGGGTTTTGGGGTTTTGGGG